GCGAGAGGGATGCCTGGCCAGACTGGCCCCAAGGTAGGCGCCACGCATGGCCCCGCGTGTCCTGGCCACGGCTTCGCTGTCCTCCTGCTGGTGACGTGGCTGACACGCCGGTTATACTGACGGACAGGATTATGGGGACAAGTAGCAATGCTCACACCCATATGGGTAGGGTCTGGGGGAGGGAGTACCTGTTTGGGCCCCTCTGGGCCCAGGCGTGTGCCCTGACCGGGAGTCGATTGAACTGTGACCCCCGGGGTTGGCGGGTAGATTTCACGAGCATGTGTGACAGTTTGGGTGCAAATCTGCTGCTTTTGCGTGGGAGGTGAGCAGGCGGGTGGCCCTGGGACAAGAGGGGAGAGGAGGTGGGGATACGGACCCAGGGCAGGATATGCGGGGCCCCGGGCGCATCGACGCTGCCTGGACGCCTTCCAGGGCCTCAGGTTGCTGGGGTGCGGCTGGGTCCCCTCAATTCCAACGTGGCCGCTGCAGGCGCCTCCTGGGGGGCGATGAACGTGGCGTGAAGCTGTGCTGGTGGAGGCGCCCAGGAGCCGATCTTCTCCAACGTGTGATGGGGAAGCGGCAGCCCAGTCACGGGGGGGGGATGGGGGTCAGGGGGGGCAGCTCCTCCAGACAAACACCTTCTGGTGGACGGGCCTCGGTGCTTCGGGAGGCGTGGCCGAGTCCCTCCGCGTGGGCTCCGCACGCCGCTCCGAGCGGCTCACTGGGGGCTTCTCTCCTTTTTCACACATGGTGCCTCTTTCATTTATTTATTTATTGATTTAAATATGTCTTTATTGGTTTCAGAGAGAGAGAGAGAGAGAGAGGAACATCAATGAGGAGGGAGAATCTTTGATCGGCTGCCTCCTGCATGCCCCCTATTGGGGATTGAGCCTGTATGTAACCCGGGCATGTGACCTTGACCAGAATCCAACCTGGGACCCTTCAGTCCGCAGGCCGGCGCTCTATCCACTGAGCTACACCGGCTAGGGCATGACACCTCTTATATTTAAGCACATTCTGGATATGCAGGCACGTGTGTGCACACGCACATGCATGCACACACAGAGACACATACACATGCACACACATGTATGTATGCATGCACACACGTGAACACAGACACATGCGCACACATGTACGTATGCACACACATGAACACAGACACATGCACATGCGCACACATGTACGTTTGCACACACGTGAACACAGACACATGCACATGCGCACACACTGTCCGTGGGGTCCATCCGTCACACTCGGTGACACTGAGAGATGGTTGCTGCGGCTCAGCCAGTGCTGCTCGGCCCGCTGCCCCCGAGACGCCGGTTCCCGGGTGTCAGCCTTTGCAGGGGAGCCGGCCAGGCCTCACCACGTCTCCCGCAGATCCCCCCGACTCCACGAGGGGCTGCGTGGGGGTGGGGGTTTCCATCTCAGAACTAGAGAAAGCCCACGGGGACGTGGGACAGGCGTGCGTGACCCACTCAGTGGCTAACCTGGCTCTGCTTGGCTTCCAGGGTGACCCTGGCCCCTCGGGCCCAC